ACATACATATGAACAAATACAAAATGAACCTAGGCACACCGTGCGGTATGGTGGTCGCGCCAGGTTGGAACACAAATCGACAGCATTTCACCCGCCAACCGGTGCAAAAATATGAAAATATTTCAAACATCGACAGCCAAAATCCAAGTTGCAATACAATAGAACCAGCAAGGTAAACAACAAAATCACAAAAATGGCAACAATGTACAAACTTGTAACTAAGCAAAGGCGGAAAGATAAGAGTTTGTGCAACTAAGAGGTACTTCAGGCTATTTGTAAAAGAGCGTTTAAGTGCCATCAAGACCCGTGCTGAGGACATGAGCGTGAGTGGTGGTGAGCTGTAAATGTTGCACGGTAGGCAGTTACGTTGTGTATAACCGTGGAAAAATAAATAGTTTTAGGATTATTTGATGCTTTGGGGAATAAAGGGTTACAATGCCGAATACTTAGTAAAAATCTGATGCGGTAGAGCATTCAGAAAACTAAGTTCTACTAATTACACCGTACGATAGTAAGTCTTACATATAAAAAAATAATCAATTTATGTACACACTCGCAAAACTGGGGACTAAATAAAACTGTGTTTTTAGGAGTTTTTAGAATCACTTTCAAATTTCAAAGATATGGATAGTTCAAAACATTATTTCAAAAATTCAGTGCAATGTACGAATGGGCTATTAGATATTTAAAACTTTATACTTTAATATCCCTGAAAATTTTAAATGATTACTTTCGAAAAAAATAATATAACTTAAGGACTTATTAGACCACAAAGTCATCGAATTTCGTCCTTATAGCTGGTAGATAGGTAGATCAGTTAATAGAATAGTATTTACATTATCATCTGAAATTTTGCTGTATAATTTAGAAATTGTGTGTAGTATTTAGATGACGTTGAAAAAAAAAAATCGTTACAATTTTGCTTTGTTTTTTTTTTGTTTTTTTTTTTCAAACTTAGTATTTCTCGATTTTTCATTGTCGTCACTTCCTCTTTTCCAATTTGATCCGCCACAGAGACATTTGGCAACGATGATTTCTTTTATTTGCTCCATTGCTCCTAAACGCACACGTTGTTACATTAAACTGATATATAAATATAGACTTCCAACCTGGCATCGCTCGCATTTTGATGCCGCCTCGTGAACACCCCAAAGTAAGTAATTCGTGCTTTTCTCACAGCCTTTGTTGCATCAGCGCTGACATTGCCATGGCGCCAGTAGTAAGCCAAATGGCATGACCATGACTACCGGCCAGCACTTAAGTGTGCACGAATGCTGCATAAGATTTATGATGTGGCATAAAATGCGGCACTTGTGTTTTAAGCGTTTGCAGCATCAGGCAGCTGTTGAGACGTGGGGGCGATTATGTCTATGCCGCTGGCATGCCAACAGCTGTGCTGCTCATTTTCACTGTAAGTCTTCGCTGGAAGTGCGAGATGTTTGGAGATACATATAATGTGTAGGTGTATTTAAGATAGTCTATATGTACATATGGAGATGAAACTTAGGATATAAATGGGCACATATTATATGTACTTTTAACTACGCGAAGGAAGAAATGCATTAAAACATGTGTTAATTTTTTAAGTATTTAATATTCAACACATACAACATAATGAAGGGTGATAGAGCAAATATACTACGAGCTGTGAACATTTTTTGGCCGCGCTTCAAAAAATAACCCATCTGGTCCAATGATATAAACTGACTTGATTTTTCTGCTCACGTAGTCTTTCCATAAAAGAATGTTATGTGTAGGGCTCGGAATCTCATTCGCGAAAAAATCGAAAATATGCGCCTATAATATGCACTCAATAATCAAAAATAGGCGCCATATACAAGTAAAATATGCAATTAGAAATATTTTCCTAATATTTTATTGCCGGAACAAAAATAAATAGCACACCTACACCCATTTGGCGGCTTTAATGAATTTCAGTACGTCATACAGAGAGAGGCAGCTTCACTCTAAAACATTCTGCAGGAATGGATTGCAGAGTGTGTCTAGCCTCATCCTTGCAATGGCCGGACACTCGCACAAGAAGTGTACGACTGCCTCTTTTGAGCCAAATTCATCGCAACTACGACACCAACGGGCACACTGCAGTAACTTAGTAGATATCTTCTTTGCTCATTCCTAAGAGAGCTTTGGTCTAAATGGGTCCTAGGACACCCAGAACTACCGGGTAATCCTATACGATCCTGTAGGGTTCCACCTCTGCTTAGCCTTCGAGTAATAAATTTCGGTAATTGTTGCTTTTATCTCCCTGAGCGAAGCGCCCATGGCCACCCTGTGGGATACATTCAGTGCGGAGCCGCACGTTGCTAGTTCGTCCGCTGCCACGTTTCCGTAAATGTCCCTATGTCCCAGGAACCATATTATTTAGGGTAATTACGTATTGATCTGAGATATAGGAAAGCTCTCTCCTACAGTCTTCCACTAGTTGAGATCTAATATGGGTAGAAGAGTACCTCAATGGCCGATTAGCTATTCGACAAGATATTCAGATGAATATTTAAGAAAAAATTATAGGGATTTTTTTTGGCAAAAGATTTCGCACTAAATTTAAATGGCTGTAAATAAAAAAATAGCGGGTGGCCCTCGGCAGGCAATGGCAAACCTCAGAGTGTATTTCTGCCATGAAAGATAACTTCTTATAAAAATACAATCGTCGTTCGGAGTCGGCGCACGCCACAAATCGGAGGAGAAGCTCGGCCAAACACTAACATATGTGGAAGCAATTTCCGTTGCACCTTTTCCGTGTGCAATTTCTGTCAATGCCAATTTGCCAATTTACTCCCATCCAACTAACCGCCGCTAAAGAAGTTTCACTTCAAAAAGATATACAAAGAAAGTCAAAATAACAACTCGTGCTCTTACATCCGTAGTTGTGTGTGTAACGTATACGCCCCGTAGCACGATGCAGGAAATGTGGCGCCGTTCGCGGACCGCTAACCCTCTCTTCGTCGATTTGACAGCATCCACCCAATCGCTGACGTCATAAAATACTTTTGTTTACCTTCACTGTTGCCAACTTGATGTTTTTCGCACCAAATTTAGTGGGTATTCAAAACGCGAAAATTTTTGACTATGGTGCTTTGTGCGTTTTTGGTGCTTTTGTTTTTAGTTTGAAGACATCAAATTTGAAAATCTTAAGAAAATGGAAGTAAAATTTATAGCTATCATAAGTGTTGTAAGCAACTTTACAAAAATTTAAACAAAATCATGCCACAGTGACAGTCACAAGTGGCAACAAAATATTCGGTAGCACCTTCAATTATGCCAGAAGAAATCGAACGTCGTGCAAGAAAAATTTATTTTTATTAATTTAAATCGGCATCTTTACAATAAAATTATGTATGCATATAAAGTCCATAAAATACACCAATAAAAATTTGGTGCTTTTTCAAATTCAAAACTTGGCAATACTGCCTTTTGTTCGATGCTTACCCTTTTTCTTGTCGAGTTCGTCTTGCTCTCTCATTCTGGTATTGGTTGACGTCACGCCCCACCATACACAGTCAGCTAACACGTTCTCTCACTCGCAGACCTTAACTTGAAAGCCATATAATTTAAAAGTAATTCAATATTATCGTGGAAGACTCTTACACAGTATTCCTTATGCACTTGTATATTATTTTCTTCATTTATAAAATGATTTTAGAATGAATTTCGAGTGTGCCAATAAAAATTGCAAAAATGGTTTTTTAGTTTCTCAAATCAGTCACCTTTAACTCAAGGTAATTTTTTTTTTTTTTCATTTGGCGGCACACTAGTTTTATTACACTAATTCGTTCATTCGTTTTGACAAGAAAAACATTTTCACCATTTAATTTTAAAATTTCTAAGTATCTTAAGTTATCAAAATTAGAAAAATCGCAAAATTTCTAAAATTACAAAATAGCTGCGACAAATATGAAACTTCACAGATATGTTGCATTTGCTGCCAATGTCCCTTGCCTCTAATATCAACATTTTATTTGAAAACTTTCCAAAGTTATTAAAAAAAAACCGTAATGTTTTTTTTCCAGTGACAATGAAAAACTTAGTAATTTCGGTACTTTTCGCCTAAATAAACGTTTTAAGGCTAAAATGTTTCAAAGACTTTATTTATTTTTTATTGTGCTTGTTTCTGGAACTCTGGTATGTGGCGCTGTACTTGTTTTTCGTCTCAGATTTAAAAAAAAAAAAATTTTGCAAACATGTCGAATTAAATTTAGAGGGCCTAGAAATTTTTATAATGACTCAAATTAAATATCTTTAATAGCACTTAATTATAATTGCAGTTGAGTGTTATAAAATTGTGAGAAGAATGCACAGCTGCATGCAATTCATTAAAACCGCAATAAATAATGCAATTATTTTTCTTTTTTTTAAACAGTGGAATGATGTTTCTGGTCTCAAATTCTATAAAATTTTTATAAAACATACAAAAGTTTTTTGGAAGAAACCCGGTAGTTAAGGTGCCGATCCAGGCCCGATCAGTAAAATCTCGGCGCAGAAAATGATCGTGCCGCTTCAGATCTAGCGTCAGCTTGATCATGTAAGCATGCAAAGCAAGATTCTTTCGCAAAATGCACCACACTTTTTTCTGGAAAGCTCCAATTCTTTCGCGCGGCTTGAAATCGTCTAGTTTGGATCGTTTGCGACAGATGCAGTGACGGCAGCGATATTCTGTTTGCAAAAATCTGGCGCATCTTCGCCATTACAAAACTGATAACTTGCTGTCAGGTGGGGTGATTATGGCCACTGAAAGTTGACCTTAGCGCTCTTGAAGTTGCATCCGACGACTCCGAATTTCTGTAACTGTAAAAGTCCAGTAGCCTTTTACTGCCATTTCATGTTATCTCTTCAGAAGGCGTTAACTAAAATCGAATACCACACATATTTTTATTTCGTAGTCCATATATAAATATGAATATGTATGGTATTGATTATATAAGTAAATATGTTCTCTTATTTTTGTTCGTTCTAATTCTTTGTCCTACTCGCTATTTCAGGTGGCCTGGATACGTCATCGGGACCTGCACATCCTTACAGTTGGCACGTATACGTACACTACAGATCAACGGTTTCAAACATCATATCATCGGGACATTGATGAATGGACTTTGCAAATAAAATGGGCACAGCAGCGTGATGCCGGAATTTACGAGTGCCAAATATCGACCCAACCAGTGCGAAGTTTTTCGGTGAATTTAAACATTGTTGGTAAGTGGCTTTCAGGTTAAGTGTGGGTTTTTACATACAAACATATATAGTTATGTGTGTTTACAAGCATATAAATAAAGTATTTAGCACATATATACTTATAAATAAAAAATCGTCCGAATGAATAAGAGTTAAAAACAAGCAATGTAGGGTATTTTCTGATCTAAGTTGGTTATTAATTTGCAAAGGTATACTTTTAACCCAAACAAGTGCGAAATGATACTTTTCGCAACGAAATAAAAAACTCCTTATTTCAAACCCACTTTTCAAATGGTAAATAGTCTGTCCTTTCAAATGAGCTCAAGGTGTTAGAGCTTGACTTTATTCTAGACAACAAAATTGGACTGAAAGAGAAAGATCGAAAGCTATTTTAGGAAAGCGCTCGCTTCCTTGTATGACACTAAATCAGATATAATTATAAAACTGGGAACCAATCCATATATTAGGTATACCCTAAGGCTTCAACAAAAAAAAAACAGAAGCACCTACTAATTTCATTTCTCCTCGCGGAAGGGCTGCTTTCGACTCTATTCAAGACACTTCGAACTTTTCAGCAAAAGATTTTTGAAGAGGACTTCAAGCTGGATGCAATGTGGCCAGATTAAACAACATTTAGCCATTAAAGAACCTTAGATTTGAAGAAAGAAATATTCGTGAGAATTCCCGTATGACTAAATGTGTTCTTTGAGAGATCCATGGTAAAGCTTCTATGTTAGTATCTCAACAACTTGTTCACCATGATTAGAAGGCACCCCATGGTAGTCCTATAACCCGCGTTGCGATACGTCTGAAGCTTTATCTACTGCATATCAACTACTACATACATGCCCACGAGTGTTAAATTTTATTGCATCTCTGTACTTTATTTACGATTGCGGTTGTATGCGCGGATAAAAAGTGAAAGTTTTCAAAATTTTTGGGTACAATATTTACCGTTGGAATTGTAGGTCCATCGACCCGTATGCCTTCAGCTTGACCTCGTTCATCCAGTTGGCAAAAGAGTAATAGTTGATTTCTAAGGGGAAAAATGGAGGCATAACCACTAACTTTGCAGCACAAGTCATCAGAGGCTCAGTTTTAATTTTTCTGATCGCATATATCAAAACTAGATAAGCGTTGTTTCGGAAACACATAGCCACAAGCTAGCAAGAAGAGACACACAAATATCCTACAATATTTTGCAGCTCTGAACCGATGGAATGGAGTTTGTGGAAAACTTTTGCGTAGCAGAAATACTACATTTGCAGCTTTGCCATAGTCTAGCGATGGGCGATCGCTTTAGAAAAAAATCTTTCTAATTTCGATGTTGCTCGTACCAGCGATCGTCCTAGGTCCCATGGAGTGGCAGCAGGCTCCTCTAGCCACTCATTCACCTCTGCTGGAAAATATCTTTCCGCTTAACGCACCAACGATCGAAGAACTCCCTATTTTCAGCAACGGTCTTTACCAGGTTGTAATTATATGAAAAAAACAATCTTAATGAATGCCTGACTTAATGGCAGATCACAAGGTACAATAAAGGGTAAAGAACGCTCCCTGTAGCAACGTCTGCACGAATGGAGTAGCTTTTTGTTCTAAAAGAAGTTTGTCTGACTTATGCAACTTTCGAGTATAGCATGTGTATTTTCAGGAATACGCCCTTTAATTTACATAAAATTATCGAAGGCTTGATAGACCCTTAAAATACTCAAGTGCAGTGTTTCTCTCATTCGAATGCTTTCCTTGTGTAAAAAAAAATAAACTTTTAAATCTGTTCTATGTTTCCGTGCTTTTCTCTAATGTAGAAATGGTGCTGAGGTGTTGTTTGGTTCCCTGTGTATGATAGTTGTTTTTGCTTCTGACAATGTCCTAACCGACTCTTACTATTTAAAGCATCATTTTATATTTTAAAAGGTAGCTGCTTTTTTGCCATAATTCCGTCATAACTGGGTGCCTTGCGATTTTGAATGACATTAGCTGTGATATTTTTTAAATCTGTTATTTGATTGGGTAGAGCCTTCATTTGTTCTTAAATCTTAGAAAGATAGGCTTATTTGTTTTGAAGCAGACTAGGACTGAAAATAAATTGAATTTAAAATTGTGATAATTTTAACAAATTCATTTGTTTAGCCCAATAATTTTTCGAATATTCAAAAAGCTTTCAACACATCGAATGCAGTATTATTGTTCCCCTTTATTTTCTTTTCAGTTGAATTAAGAGAAATTTCAAACTGTTGTATGTCGTTTTTTTGTTGCGCTGCGCCATTTGAATTTCCTTTTCTCACTTAACTACATTGTATGTAAAGATAATATGAGGAAACGTACATAAGAAGGTGCATAAAATTACGATAAAAACTTTTGACAACAACCTCCTTCAGCAACGAAACACCGTGTCGTATGCGCAACATTTATTTTCAGGTTAATGAGGCGACAATCATAAAAAGATTGTGCGAGCGCAGAACAACCATTTCATATTTCCCCATTCGCTTTTTAAGTTGTGAATACAATTACGTTTCAACAAAAGTTACAATGAAAATTTCCCGTCGTAGTGGAAACTGTAAATAACATAAAGCAAAATTTATATATGGTAGATGAAGGAGTGCAAGAGCAAAACAAGGAAACAGTATTTTTTCAACAACAGCATCGTCGGTTGGTTAAGAGCATCAACGTCGAATAGCAACACAAAAAATTAATATTATAATTAAAATTAAGCAAAAAAGCAAGAGTTGAGAAAATGGAAATTTGTTCAACAAACTTTTTCACTAAGCTAGCACATTGTGGGTATACATAGGTGTGTGCGTGTGTCTCGTATAAATACGCACTTGCTCGCTTCTGTTGGTTGTTGTAAAGAGTACAACAAAAAGTATGTATGTTGCATTAAATTGCAACAGTTGCATATAAATATGTGACTTCAAAGGAGCGTATCAAACGTGCAGCTATGCATGTACAAGTTAGTAATGTTGATACGTAAGTGCAATCCTTGATATTATTGTTTTAATTCATTTTTAAGTGTGGTAGTTAACAAATATTTCTAAAACCATGTTCTCAATAATTTTCCCTTAAAAAGTTTATTTGAAACCCAAAATTTTCTTTAAAAATTTTTACATTAAAATTTTTCCCCAATTTTTTTTTAATTGTTTCCCCAAAATTGTGATACATACATTTTTTTCTCTAAAATTTTTTCAATGTAATTTTTTTTCAGAATTTCTCCTTGAAAATTTTTTTCAATTTCCTTAAACTTTTTTGTTTGTTTCTAAAACTTTGTTTTTTTTTTTTATTTTTCCTTGTAATTTTTTTATGTTATTTGTTTCCTCTCGGGTTTTCCTGTGGGATATAGGAAGTAGAAAATTGGTACCTCACCACATATTGCTCGAGGAACTTCTTGAATGCCTGACTGGTGAAATGCGTTCCGTTATCTGTCACCAGGTTTTTCGGAATACCGAATGGCTCCGTACCGTTCCCTTCCCGAAATGACATGCTCCGGAGGGGCATGATCTCTACCCACTTAGAGAATTTGTCACCATTGTGCTGACGTGTTTTCATCACGGGATCGGTTCAACGAAGTCGGCTGTTTGCTGGGTTTATATAGTTGGCCCGACTGACACCCTTTCACGTATTTACGCACATCACAGAACATGCCTGGCTAGTAATATCGTGCGCTGGATCTTGCGATCGGTTGCCGTTCGCCCATGTGGCCAGCGATGGTTGGTTCGTGGACCTCATGCAGTACCCTCTGCCGCAGATTCTTCGCTACGCGCAACTTTCATGGGATGAAGTCTTGGCCATCAACGTGGGCAGGAAGGTGTCAATAGAGCTTACCGTCTCCCACAGTGTAATCTGTTAATTTAACGGAGCTAAATTTTACTTCCCTTATCTTCTCTTCCAGCCATTTGCAGGGCTCTGCCATCTGGCGCTCTTTGCTGATGATCTCATGCATGCGTGGGTTCTCCGGGAAGTAACCCTTGGCTAATAGGGCGGTCATTGTTGTTGTGTGCGTGGCTATGTTGAATGTACCTGTCATTTCCTCTAAGACGCTTAGTTCGTGGTACAGGAACTCTTAAACGGAGGTTTAAGGACGTTTGGCGGTTGTGGGGTCTTGTCGGAGTTCTTGCAAGTTTGCTCAGCCATAGTGATGCACGTGACCTTCGTTAAGACATATCAGGCGCTTCTAGCGTCAATGACTCCCCTCCGCAGCGTATGCAAATACGCGCCTGGGAGAGGTAGTCCACCCCTATGATAATGTCGCCTGCAAGTTTTGGTGGCATTAAAAGCTCGATTTTGTAGGCTTGGTCACTCATACCGACTGTCGCATCAGTACCCTTGTTTCCACCATCTTTACCCTCAATCGTGGAAAGTATTCGCCGCTCGCGTCGTTAATGAAACTCCTCATGGCTCCAGTGTCTACTATCGCCTGCACTTGCGTCTTTTATAGTGTGGCGGACGCGACGATACGCCCTTCGTCTTAGCATAAGGACGCCCTGGTTTGGTGTTTCGCTTTCTGGGCGGGACCCAACATCCTTTTCCTGCATCCTTCTGCACGCAACCTGGCCACTCTCTTCGCTTCGCCTGCATGTAGTTCTCGGGCCTATCGGGCCTGCATCATTCTGCGCTGTTCTTCGGTCGTCGTTTCTGGGCTGCCAGGGTCTCGCACTAGTGGGGTTCATCGGTGTTGGTCTCAGAGCGTGATACCGCTCTTCTCGGCGCACCTGTGGAATCGGTGCATACTTAAAGGCCTTAGTGTGAGATTCGTGCCGTAGAAGGTGCCGGATATAAAATTTTCAAAATCTTCGTAAAGGTTTATTAACTCCCCCAGCGTTGCAAAATCACGCGGATTGATGTACAATTGCTAATCGCTGCGACTGTTTCGCTACACCCGGCTGAGTTTGTCGCCTGCTGTTGTTGCGGAACCAGCTTAGAGCTCGATCTGTATCAGTTATGGCTAGCTCCTCAACCCTAGGGGGTCTTTAATGCCATAAAACTTTAGCCCCCACTTTCTTACTCGGTTGATAAGCAACTGTGGCGTAACCCGGTTCGAAATGAGTTATGAGAGTGGGGTGTGCTGGTGGTGATCCGTGGCTGCTGGACTGCGCTGCGATACCCTCGATGCGCGGAAGGAAATCGGAACACCGGGTCGTGCCTCGCGGCAAGTTCCGTGAGAGGGCCGGTGTACTTTGAGTCATCTTTCACCTCTGATAGAAACTGGGTTAGCCTCTTCCGAAGTACGTCAACATTCCCGAAACCGTTTATCCGTACTCGACGAGTTCCTCCTTGTGTAGGTAATATTCCCACGACAAATTCACCACCTTCATTGCTCCTTGCTAGTTATTGCCCTTTCCTAGGTATTTTAGCACTTGGAGTCATTTCTTGCACTTGTATGCACATTTGGTGTTCTTGCTTTTTTCTCTCTCCAGGGTCTTCGCTCATTTCTGCTCTATGTAGAGCCTTTTCTCGCACTTTCACTTTCTGCTCTTTCTGAAGTCCTTTCTCACGTTTAACCTTCACTGTTTAGTCTTGTCTTGTCTAGTCATATCCCTGCTCGGGCGCCATTTGTGACTAACTCCGGGTTAATGCTGGGGTATGCTTATCGGCTGTCGGATTCTCCACAAACACAGTTCGTTTAAATTGACAGCCAAGTACTATGTAGTCTGTTTCGGTCGTACTTAAGAGGATGGGAGCAGAAGCTACCCGTTCCGCTCCGTTTGGTGGGTGTAGCTCCGTGCAACCAAATGTATTTAATACCCGCAACCATCTAAGAGAGAGAGTAGAACCTGCCCGTCTCTAAATACCTGACTAAATTTCTAGAGGATAGGGAGTAGTGCCTGGCCGTCTCCTAATACCTTACACAGGACGTAGAGCCTACGCTATGAGTGCCCAAGCTCCTACTCTTGCAATAGTCGACTGACTACTCCCGTCTTCTTTAATTTCTGGCCGGCATTTGTCTTTTGTGCTTTGTTCCTTTATTTTCTACCAATGCTGCTAACTGTATAGGTCGATTCCGCAGAAAAGTAAACCAGTCCGATTTTTTTCTTTCTTTCAAATATTGTGCGTATTGGTGGTTATTGGTATTCTCTATACCTGTCAGCTACTTCTGACGCTAGTTTTTATCATGTCGAAGCATTCTGTGTTAATTATTTTGCTCCTTTTGTCGAAAGATTTGTGACGCACCTAAACTACAGTACTACAACAAGAAAAAGTACAAAAATATAAGCTTTCGCTGATTTATTTTGGCTGATAAAGCCAAAAGATACGTTTCAAGTTAGCAAAAAAGTTGTATATAACTCCTATTAAGCAGTAATAAATTGTACCGCAAATGTTAATTGTAACGTAGCCAGTGACAAAACTAAAAAAGATGTTTTTCGGATACTTAAGTACCCATTCCAAATGGATATATAATACGTTTTATTAGTGTTGTCGCTATCATACTGATGCCATATAGAATAAAAGAAATCGTAGCTGATTTAGTTGCCTTCCTAATAAATAAGTGTAACAGGGCCAGTGTTTTTCTTTTTATTTAAAATTTTTGTATTGACTAATAGTATTATCATTTCATTGCAGATGACATGCTGGAAAACTAGCAATATTTGATCACCCAGTTTGCAAAAATTTCATACTTTCTGACGCGACCCATCATTGAACTTCCAAATAGTGTAACGTTTGCCAGAGCACATTCGAATGCCCTCAACTTTGATACCAAAGGAGTTATTAAACCCTTTTTCCACAGAGATATAGATTTGATCTTGCTGAAACATATTACCTAAAAACCCAAGTATTTTTCTGTTTTTATTGCATAATTGATTCATATTAAAAAAAAATGCGTACGAATGTAATGTTGCCAGTCATATAATCGTCCATATGTACAATTGTGTGTACATAAGTCTGTTTACATTTACATGTACATATGTAATTACCCAGTCGACGAAATTAAAAAAACAAAAGGTCTTCCTGGAGCCCTAATTTCGGCTCTTTTGAAGCGAAAGGCCTTCCGTTATCGATTATTTACTACCTTTCATTTTGTATGGAATTAACAGAGTTTCCAGGTCTTCTGATTCAGCTTCACTTTGAAGGGAAAAACTCACATGAAATAATAATGAAACAGTTTGAATTTAAATTTGCAGTCGACATTAACCGATGCGTCTACTGCGATTTTTTCTTTTATGTGATTTTGGTTGCCTTGGAAACACACATTCACGTGTGCCTTCGAATGGCTGCGCTATTGGAAAATCCTCTAATAAAGCTTCCAAAGAGAAGGTTCAATTCAAAAATCCCTTCTTGAAGACGTTTACTTAGAAACGCTCCTCATTTTGCCGACTGGGTATTCAGTGTATTGGGGTCCTCACAATTGAAAAAAGTCACACTTTGACATGAAAATGTTACTCATACGCCATGGACGAGTACGGCCATGTACGATACGGCTTATGATTAATTCCTGCTCCTATTTCATATAAAAAATTATTGCACATTTTCATTTGACCATTCACAACTTGTTTATCTGTCCATCGATTTTCTTTTTTAGTAGCTTGATTTTTTGGCAAAAGAAAGACCTTTATTATGTTTCCCCTGTGTGTAATCAACTCGACAATTACTTTTAGGAAGAAAATGCCTAGCACCGACAACAACAAAAAACAATATTAAAAATCAACGCGATTTTCTAGCGTCTTGAAATTTGCACCCACTTAAATTTAACCCTCATTAGTCCTTGGGGTCAAAATTGGCCCCTTTTAAATTTTGAATCCGATTTTCCCACTTGCCTTGGGTCCGA